AACGTTAAAAAATAAAAAATAAAAAGAAATGAATTGAGATACCAAGTGAGCTGGCTCACAGATTTATTCATTAATACACAGTTAATTTATATCTATCTTTTAGGGAAGGATTTGTTCGTTGATAGTTGAAAGCCTGCTTAAGATCCAGAAATCTCTTCCAAAAAGAGGGGAGTTTCACCTGAATAATATTTATTTTCTGTAGATCATTGGAACAAATTTATTTTTGAAATGTATGTTTAGGGGCGCCTGGGTGGCGCAGTTGGTTAAGCGTCCGACTTCAGCCAGGTCACCATCTCGCGCTCCGTGAGTTCGAGCCCCGCGTCGGGCTCTGGGCTGATGGCTCAGAGCCTGGAGCCTCTTTCCGATTCTGTGTCTCCCTCTCTCTCTGCCCCTCCCCCGTTCATGCTCTGTCTCTCTCTGTCCCAAAAATAAATAAATGTTGAAAAAAAAAATTTAAAAAAAAAAGAAATGTATGTTTATATCTTAACATTTGTTAAGATTTTACATTATCATCAGCAAAATAAATAAAGCCAGAAAAGAAAAGAAATGACAAGGTGGAGAAGACTTGGGACTTTTAAGGTTGAACATATTACATAGAAAAGCTAAAAAAAACAAAAAAAAATCTGTTTACATCTAGCGAAGGATTCCATTTCAATGAAGAGAGAGTTTTTATTTTTCTGTTTCATGGGATCACAAGCCTTGGTTTCAAGGGGCTAGCAGAAAGAAGAACCAAAAATGAGGAAAAAGAAAAACTTGAGAAAAACACGCTTAAAATTTTTAAACTTTTTATTGAACACTGCAAACAAATACAGAAATAGAACAATGAAACGAATCCACATGTTGCACCCATCACCTAGCTTCAACAGTTACAAACATGAGTCCACTTTTGATTAACCTGTATTCTGGTCTCTACCACCCTTCCCATTATTTTGAGGCAAATCCCAGACGTATTATTTTATCCATACATTTTTCAGTGTGTGTCTCTAAAATGTAAGGACTTTGGGGGCGCCTGGGTGGTTGAGCGCCTGACTCTTGATTTCAGTTCAGGTCAGGATGTCACGGTTTGGTTTGTGGGATTGAGCACTGCCCAGCCC